GCATTGATAATTGTTTTAATATATGTTCAATATGTCACGTATGAGAATTTATTATATTAAAATTTGCTTGATAATCTGAATGTATTCCTACCTATTTTAATTAGCCTGCATCAGTTCCTAAGGTCGTGATACAAAAATACATGACATGCATCGTTTCTGTACCGTGGAAGCATTTTTAAATATATACTTTATTGCCCTATAAATTTTATTCCACTAATTAGAAATTTAACCTTCTTAATTAACTGACTTAAATTAACTGAGCAGGTAAAAGAGATGATACAGCCATGCACAATTAAGTTAATAGATGCATGGATCACTTCCGATAATGAAAGCATGCAGTTTTCCCCTTGGTTAACAAGTGTACCTTTTATTATACGTCATAAAATTATGTAACAAAACCAAAACGCCTTGGTTGTTTGTTTGTTTTTTTTAAATTTGTTTTCTATTTAAATTGAATATAAAATATAGGTAATAAAATCGTGTAGCAGTACCATTTTAAGTTTAATTATTCCAAAGAAAAAATTAGAATAGTTCCATTTCATAATAGAAATTGTTTTAAATTACTGTCAATAAAAATATATATGGGATAAAAGGAAAAAATGATCTGTACATTTAATACCTTATTAAAGTGAATTTGTATATTTTGATATAAGATCAAAAGAGTTTAGATATTATATGATAAACAACAATGAATATATACATGTATATAATTACAATAAAATTGCAAGGATTAAATTCAAAAACGATCTTGTGCTACTTTTATTATTACATAAAAAGGCAAAAATGTCTGGCTATAACGTCAAGTCGATTGAAATTAATTGCAAGTTAAGGGTAGCTAATTGCAGCCTTTGACAAATGCACTCCTATCACCCTCTGAATCATGTTTTACCTTAAAAATGTAAACAGTCACCTCTACTCAGTGGCTAAGTGTATAATTGTCATAAAGCCCTTCATTATCAATCGTTGTTTACCCTTGCATACCCAATAACAAAAGTCAACTCCCTCACATTGTTCTATCAATAAATTGTGTGAAATCTTAGTCTGAATATTGAAGTAAAACTATGCTAAAATGAAATGATTTGTTATAAATGACCTGTCTGATAATGATACCTTGAGGTAAAGCAATATTATATAAAGTGACATAGATCATTATCTTTTTTTCTATTCTTATCATTTTAAATGGCTGCTTCAACAATCGTTATAAATTAATAAATGAATCATTGCCATTTTCTTGCTGTTAGATAGGGATTTGTACTGACTAAACTCTTTTTGACAAGTCTAAATTATTTGCATGGAATTGCCCGGGTACTCTCTCAATATATGTACGGACATGTCAGTAGCAATACCACAGATTCAATAAGAAAGGTAACACATTCTATCAGGGTTGATATCATCATTAAATCTCTTCACTTCGATATAAATGGCTCAGATTCCTCACATTTTTATCAGTGCAAGTATTTAAAAACAAATATTGGGTGACATGTTTTGAAGGCTATTATTTTTCTGCCCGTCTCAGCGTTTCAGTAGAGAGGACAGCGGAGGGGTCGGTGTTCAGTAAGAGTACAGGGGGAGCATTGCTAACAATCCGTTGGTGACAACAGTTGCATGACATCCCAGGATACACCCCTTGTGGTACATTCTTCTGACTGTGTCATAACGGTCATCTACAGAGACTTTTGTTCTAAATGATTTAGAATATAAATCAGATAAAAGTGACATTTTGCTATCAAATTTCTCAGATTTCTAGAAACTGTTCAATAAAGTCCAGGAACATAAATATAGAAATGAAAGGTTTTATAGCTAGATAAAATTAATATTGTGGTAGGATTAGATGAAGTTTTTGAAAATGGAGTGTGCAGATTTTATGAAACCAATACAATTTCATCTCAAAAAAATCATAACCTCCAATCCTTGCAAAACAGAAGTTTATGTGTTTTGATGTGCAAACAGAAAACACTAGTCAAATTAACAAATTGTTCCCATTTCGCCTTGCATGTTAATGCTGGCAAAAAGTAATAAGGAATGCTGGCAAAAAAGTAATAAGGCGAAATGGGAACATTATTGTTTCCTCTGATTAACAGAATTGGAAACTGATGAGATAATGCTGTTTTTATTAGAATCACAAAAGCACCTGTTTAATGTTGTTATGCATATCTACCTAATAAAAAAGGTAATTCTTCTTCATTGTCAGTTAATGCATAAAATGGCCCTTAGATATACCATTAATTGATCAACACTTGGTTTTCTATTTGAAGCATTAAAATAAAATAGAGACTTGGTGCTATCATATCCTATTAAAAAAATCCCCTAAAAGTCCAGGTCTTGGAGAACTGGCTTTATGAAATTGCAATGTTGAATTTATAGGTAAACAGGTATAATTGAATACTTTCATTGAAGAAAAAGTATATGAGCGCACTCTCTGATCTAAAAATTAAAACATGTCCATTAATCCTCAGAAAGATTTCTATCATTTACTATTTGCATATTTTAGATCAGAGGTTGCGCTCTGTATTAAATATCAAAGAATAGCTTTCAAAATTTGCCATTTTTGTAGACTTTTTCAGAATATGAAGAAATTGACGCATTTCGTGACGTCATAATACATTGACTAGCCAGAAAATGACGTCATTTTTGATAGATACGCAGTCACCAAAGATCTAAGTGATATTTAATGCATTATTAAGTAAAAATATGCAGTTTCATTTTTTTCAGAAAATCACAGGGCCAAATAAGGCAAAAGTGAACCTTCTTCTTTTTAGTGTTACTGTATTTTTTTATGAAATCATTTTCCTGGCATATTTCTTTCATCATATTTTTGTTTTCATTCATATTATTCTGTTGACATGTACAGCGAAACTACCTACAAGCAGTTCCATTCAGTCAAAAGTAATCATGTAAATCACATTCATTTCTTTAACGTCTTGTCAGCAAACACAATCTATCTCTAAGTCAAATGCTGATGGATTTTTTTTCATACTTTATTGTTAAGTTACAATTAACACGCTGGATTGTCAACGGTTTTTCCCCAGTTTTCCCGATCATGAAAAGGAGCATAGGGCAGCAGTCACCGGTCGGCAGGAGATATGCTCACTCCTCCATGACACCTGATCCCGTCTGTGATGTTTTAATCTGATGTTTTAGAGGTCTTTGTTTGCCCTGTTCCTGATCTTTATTGTTTCTATACAAATCTCTGTACTATATACATACTAGTAATTATTTTACATGCTTCATTGTTGCAAGCCTCTCAGGGCTTTTGAATTGCAAACAATCATTTGTTTTGTATTGTATTGTACTTTATTGTTTGAATGGATTTTGTTAGTTTGAATACTGTTTATCATCTTCATATTTCTTGTTAAAATCAACAAAAATAAATTGATCAAATAAACTTATCATAAATGCATCATAAAGTTTTTTTTTCAAATTATTATGATAGAAAATCGTGATACAGAATAAATTCAATGTTCATTATTAATGAAATCTCTGATGCTCAACCTAACATTGCAGAAGTAAAAAAGTTTAAAGCGAATTTCTAAAAATTATTATTTTTATAAATTAAATTCAAGGATGAATAACAAAAACAAACTATTTCCAGGAATCAATATTTTCCATAGATTAATATTCATACAGGTAACCTGAATGATATTTTCCAGGAAAAATTGGACAATTTTGTAAGGTTTTGTCACAATGTCAAAAAATATGTGCAACTGAAAACTGACGATTTCTTTGTATTTTATGAATTGATTATTTATGTCATTTTCATTCAAATTCAGCCAAAAAATATATAACGATCAAAGCATAAAAATTTTGATTGAGTAATGTGTCCTTAAAAAAATTAAACACAAAGATGGAGTTATCTATTTGAATCCCAATAAATGAACAAAAACTTGCAATTAAATTAGAATATACCGATTTCTTTTCCGTTTAGTACTTGTACACCTTTCTTCGTGGCTGTACACTGAATTATATCATAAGTGAATACTATGAGCAATTTGACCTCAATGGATGATATATAATATATATATTTCATTGGAACCATACAATCTATTAATTGTACCATTTTATTTTTCTAGTTATTTGTAGGGCCTTATCTAGTATTTGTTCAGCGTCTCAATAGAGTCCCCCATCCAAAAAAGAAGCAAGAAAACTACAAAAGAAAGCCCACACTTTTTTTTTTTTTACTACAGATTACATTTATTGTTGCATTATTTTTTCAAGCATTTTATCAGTGGTCTTCAGATAAAATTCTAGTTGAAGCGCGACCTACCTTGTTTACTATGTATATATTCGATTCTTCATTTTTTACAGATACAAACTTTGTTTGTTTTCCAAAGCATCTAGAACCGCAACCAAATATGTGCCATGTCATGTTCTTTAGAATAGTTTTGCAAAAGAGGAATGACAAGGCTAGAGGTAATGTGTTTTTTGAGTCACCTTCTCGCGGGCACTCTCTGTAGTCAAAAAAATCACGAAGAAGATGGGCCCCCAAATCTCTAAGGTGATGAATCATGGGACATATACTCAGCAGACGACAATGGAGAGTGATGAATAGGGCATCTGCCTTCAATCAACGTACGTACACCTTATCGATAGAGTGTGTGCCACTGTGTCACATTGACAGATAGGATCTAAAAACACAAAGTACTTAAATTCTAATTGACTTCTGTCTAATTTCCATTACAAAGAATGCTATTAAACAATTACGGTTTTGTTGGTTTGTAGGTGTTAAAGTGATCTGACCTAAAGTGGTGCATTAACCATCAACATGTCTTATCTTCCTTTGAACTTTTGATGACTTTTCAAAACATGTAAATCACTGCTTCTCATTTCGTTCTTTTGCTCACAATGAGTACACCAATCCCTGGACTCTAACCCACAAAGATAACTCAGTAAACTTAGGAACAATTCCTTGGATTACTGATCCGCACTTCTTAGGATTAGATTAAGGACTGACGTGAAAAGTAATCGTCGTATGTTTCTTTATCAAATAAACGCAACAGTGCTTTAATGGTTCAGCATTTATTAATTTTCATTGACATCATTTACAAATCATTGTAATGAGCAACAAGTTAAAAACACATAATAGAAAAATAAATTCTTCAAAGCAATGATGAAATCACTAAGCATAAAATACATAATACAAATCCGAGGCGGGAACTTAGCACAGAAAGCAAATGGAATTATTGTAAACGGATTTCACATAAAAGTAAAACATCAAGTCAATGCACAGCACCATGGTAAAATTCGATCATGAATTCCCAGCGCCAGCACCGAGACAAAATAATCAAAAAGTATAAATTACTACAAAATGCGTACAAAAGACACTCAATAAACTGTACTCTCAAATACATAGGCACAGTAAGATATGGAATGGATTTAAGGTTTATTTCTTAAGTCACATTGGAATTTGAGCAAATCAAAATCGTCTTTAGAGCAGCACTATTGACAATTGCAAGTCTGTTTGATATTTTAGTAGCCCATCATAGGCACACACGCTGAGCTGTGAGAGGGCCTTTGGTACGGTGAATACCTATAGTAATCTCGTCTGGTTTTCACACAATTGTCCTCGAATGATCCTGAGTATCCAGAGTTCTGGACACGACAGGAAGGCTGGAAGGGCACCTGTTGTTTTGGTTGTTTCTGGGAGAAAGTGTTATCACAATAGAGTCTCTGATCGAACTGGCAGCTGGAGTACATGTTCTCGTTAATCTGACTAGAAGGGTAATGTTTGTTTGAAGCAAAGCGACAACTGGATGGGTATTCCTCTTTTGTACATGGCACTGTGTAGTTTGGCGGTGACGTGGTGTACTGGCGGGTTTGGGTCACTCTGTAGGGATGACGTGATGGAAAGGATCCTGGGTATTGATAGGGACAAGTCACATTGGGTGTGAGGTTATTGATAAGTCCCATTAGAGACGAATTGAACTGACTGGAAGATGTGGAGGATTGCATAGAGTTAATTATAGCGTTGAAGTTGAACTTGTACGTATGTCTTTTTCCGGACACTTTGTTCAGAATGAACTTGTCGTAGTAAAACCTCAGAGCACGGCTCATATTATCGTAGTTCATGGAGGGCTTGTTTTTTCTCTGTCCCCATTTACGTGCCACTGCATCAGGGTCAACCATTCGGAACTCTCCGTTTGTCCCCTCCCACCGAATGCAGTCCTTGTTTTCTTCCTCTGACAGAAGTTCCAGAAGAAATTGCCAAAGTTTGATTTGTCCACCGCCTATAAATGAAGTAAACGAAAAAATTATAATATAGTTACTGCTGAAATTCTATGATTTTTATAAATAAAAACAATAATGAAGGAGAACAGTTTTAATAACTACAAAGTTTCATACTTACATGATAATAAGGATGCAATCCTTTTCAGGGTTTCCTCAAACTGTTTTGATTCTTGCGATTTCTCTTGTTTCACGTTTGTCACCCTTGGAGGTGGGGGTGTAGGGGATGTTATTGGAGATGCACGATCTGTAAAATAGAACAAAATGAGTTCAGATTTGATACAAAGGAAAGAGGTAAACAATGTCAGTAGTTACTGTACATCACATTGTTTTGTTTATATTATTTTTTTAATAATTTTCCGAGATATTTTACCTTCTGTTGTTATGATACAGTAGTCCTTATCCTCGTTTATACACTCCAGAATTTCACTGAGACGTCTGTATACAGGAGCGGGTTTTACGGGTTCTGTTAGAAGACTCTCTAAACTGTGGTGGTTCTCCGTCGTTTGAATATGCTCTTCATACGAAGGAGGTAGAAAGTGAGTCTGAGGTTGCTGCTGCTTAACTTTTTCTTTGGTATCCCAATCCTGATAGAAGTTTGGAACCTGGTTTACATCGAGTGTTGGGACAATGTTCTCCAGATCTGGCACGGATTGATCGTGGCAGAAAACATTCGTGATTAGGTCCTCTTGGTCAAAACCTGGGAAATCGTCAAAAAGACTTTCTGGTGTATCGCAGGACAACATTTTGCGTAAAGGTGTGCAGAGAACTGAAAAAAGAATGAAACCTACATTAGCACAGGTAGGACAGGGCAAAATAGTAAACAAATCGCTTAGTAAGAGGTTTACATATAACCGATCGCCCACCGACTTTAAACGCTTTGTTGTCGCAAATAGGTGAATGAATTACCTATATGACAAATAGATGTACACTACTCATGTATCGCACCGAAGTAACAAAGACAAGCAGGTGTGTGTACAAGTCGGCGATATACAATCTAAATACAACATGCTTTTCTGCGTCTGGTTATAAGAATTCGCTATCTCTGATGGAATGTCATTCACTAAAACGAAGGACAACAATCTTCGGAATGCTTTTATCAAGCAATGACGTCCGAACTTAGAACGGGTATTCCCTTAATTTATTGCCATCTCAGGAACTCCAGAAGCTAATAGCGCAAAGTAGTCAGAGAACGTAAAATCCAAAGCATGTTGTATGTAGATACAGTATTGCATTTCTAAACTTAAGGGGAAGAAATAATTTTTAAAAAAATCAAAAAAATCACAAAGTCTTGGAATGAAAAAAAAAATGGATGAAAAAACATGATGTTTTTTTCACAATAACTATAAAATTGACTGATGTATTTCCCATTTTAGAATACCATTTAGGCAACAGTGTTGAGAAAAACCCACCTTATTTCTTTTCTGAAGTAAGTGTTACATCTACTAAAACATACTAAGTGAATAAACCTTCAAGCATTGCCGCCTTATTTATATGTCCTGAGTCACACTTATAATGCTATACACAACCTACTATAGACAACGAATACACACAATTTTTTTGTTGTTGTCGTTACACACTTGACTGGATAAGCCAGTCATGAGGCGTTCCAGTGGTTGAACACTGTTGGCGGGTTGGACTAACTATTCATGTACCTTGTTACCTTATTTTTACCTATGCTCCATTTACTGCTCTCTCTCTAGGCTAGTCCCTTTTCTCTAGTGATCAAAGTTAGCGCACCTGCTATTTTTACGCATTTTTGTCTAATTGTACGTGTTTCTTGACGCACCGAAAGTGATTTCATATTGTTTTTTCACATTGATTTTTACGATTGATACCACAGTCCATTTTAATTGTCACGATGTAGCATCTCGCTGTGCATTATTTTGAACCCCTGGGCTAATTGTGGCGGGGGTGGGACCAATAAAAGGCAATAATATAGTGGTTTCTGAGTGCGAAAGTGAAGTACTCCTCTTGCCCAGGTTGCTGAGGTGTCTGGGTCATTGGTACAGTATGATGATAATCGTGATAATTACTGTTTTAAAAATACCTTTTAAGATAATGCAATGATAAAACCAAAGTCAAGTGGTGTGAGTCATTCTCCTAGCTTCTGTACCCTATAGAGCTCCCTGTTTTGAAAATATTTATCAGTATAGATTAATAATTGTATATAATGCGGTTTTAAATTTATGTCTGTCTGTGACCAATTTAAATTTTTTCTTACTATAAAATTTTAATGCATCAGTCAGTATTATTCTACTGTTTGAAGTAAACAAATGTAACATTTTAGATGCTTGTATTATTTGATCATTTTACATTTATTTGAACATTATATTTACATACCATTATTCATGTTTTAACATGAATTTAACATGTTTTCTGAACAATCGAAGAGAATATATATATTATATTTGTTGCCCCTTTGCATTTTTAAAAAAAAATATAAACTGCAGTTAAATATGGTGGAGAATTACATTTCTAACTGTATCTCAAATGGTAATACTGTGGTGTGCATGTATTTATGTTTGAAGATGCTATGTAAGCTCTCAGAGACCATGTTTTGCCAACACTTTGCAGATCATACGAAAATAGTTTTATTGTTTATTAAAGGATAGAATCCGGACTAACATTAATAATCTGTTATTTTTAATGTGTCATCTTTTGTTTATATTTCGTGATATTTATTTAGGGTGGCGCTGTATTATGCCAACATTTTCACGTACTTTGCAAAAGAGTTAGGGTAAGAACCAAAAACGGTCGAATTCTTCCAGCAAAAAGTGTTTACATCATAAAAGATGAACAGATTGTCTGCTATGTGGAGGTGAAGGGTGTTATGGCACTTTTGTTTTGTGTACATTCCATTATGCAATAAAATACACGTGTAAACTGACACAGTATTGATAAAATCCTTGCATTTTTAAGGTACTCCAGATTCGCACAGAAGTCAAGAGTCCAATGACGCAAGAAATTCCAGTTCCACTAGTAACTGGTTCAATATTTTGGCGGGTCTTTTGGTGACAAAGCCTTTTGGACTAAAATATATTTTGCATCAAATTTACATACTGTGTACCTGTATGCTGTACATGAAGGGAAAACCTGGGTCTTTTGAACTTTAATATATTCGATTAATATCAATTCAATACTTAATTTAACATAAAATCTTAATTTATCAATATTGAATATCGTACTTGTTGTTAGTTTAAAAGATCAATATCTTCGATTTAATACCGATTGACATCGCGCCAAGCAAAACAAGGAATATCAATTAAGGTAAATAGAAGAATTAATTTTAGTCCAGATTTAAACTGTCAAATTTAATGTAAAGATTTGTTGTGTACGGTAAACAATACATTTGGCGTACGGGCACGGGTATGTCGGTCAAAACTAGGGTGGAGCTGGACAGGTATTTACGACTTATCACGGCCCAGTTGGCAAATATTGTGAAGTTAAAAACTAAGACAGCTATCTTAGTTTGTCGGGTACAGTCTTGAAGTTTAATACCAGGTGTGGCATTTGTATTGACCCAATTATAATCAAATTAAGATTCTGTATTTTGAATAAATTTTTCATTCTCTTTATCTCTCTTACTAATTAAACCTTCTATGAATTGTCTTTTAAGGTGTATACATTTAAAAAATGGGAAATGATTTTATGTTTTGGTCCTGAAATTTTCGGGAAATGTATTCATGTTTGGTTCTTCATTTTTTGGAGCTGATCAGTTTGTATCATCTATAGATTTGATGATCGATAAAAGTAAATTCCCTTATCAGCCCTATATCTCTCAATAGAATACAATCAATTGCAGGAAGATTACCTGACAGTCCATCATTTTTGTGACAATTGCCTTTTTGTAGGCTTATTATCAAAATAAATAAAATTCCATCGCTTTTAAACTTGACGCCACATCAGACACTTTAACTAAAATTTCAATATTAATTGAAATTCACGTTTTTGATTAATTTAGACATTAAATTGCTGTACAATGTTAATTTAGCAAACTTTATTATCTCCAGAGCGTTAAATCACCTGTAAAATGCCTGCAGTGCAACCTTGTCAAAACTAATTAAGATGATTCAATGGCAACGCTTTCTGACAGTTTAATGCATTTATTTCGTTTTTAATAAATCATTTATTACTTTGCAGCTCATTTTAATATTGAAGTCTTTGGATATCCTTGATATTGCTTTAATTATTGGTCTTTCTCGACGATTTCTGAAAAGAATCTTCCTTTAATGTCATAAATTCAACTTGTTATAAAAATTATAACGATTATATAATGAAATACTTGAATGTTTTAAGAAAATAATTTTCACCTGAATTTTTCTCCCTATTTTAACTTATCAGTACCTTGTATTTGACACCAGGAAAAGTACAGACCCATTATGGGCAATTTCACAAACTAATGAACATATTATGGTATTTATTGTTAAAAATTCTGTGAAGCAAATGACCTTCAAACAAAATGCGATATAATTTGCACCACGGTTTGATGAAAGATAACGTTCCAAGACAAAGTCCCTTTTCACAACTGTTTCGAGATTTTTGTTTATAGTTTATTTAACGGACCGAAAACCATCAAATTTAACCATTTGGGATTTAAAATTAAACTTCTCGTTTTGATAGTTGTCTAAACATTTGTTAATTTCTACTTGGTTAACCATCTTGGGACTTTAAGTGCAGATTAACTCAGTTTTGATAGGACGACTATACGATATGAGAACAGAATATGTGTCATAGCTGCTGACTGCCGACATCCGGGTATTATAGACGATTTTCAAACTGTCTATCTAAACACTTACAATCTATTTTTAGGAACGAACTTGGTCCTTCAAATAAGATTAGTGTTTGTGAGAAAAAGTAGATATATTAGAAACAACATCTAAACAAAAAAACCAGGTAGCAACAATTGTATAAAAGTGAGTCCAGAAAACGAAAAACACCCAACTAAATACAATGACGAGGCGTATATTTCATATTCTGTAACAAAATAAGTTTGTAATATTCTTTTTGAAAGTCAATTACAAATAATTAGATACTTGTAGCATGAAATTTAACAAGGTCATTTGAACTTTGTGGTTTTCTTCAAAGCACTGATTAAAATTGCATGTGTTCTGAAAGTGTAAAGTTTCTCCAAGACATACGACATTTTTTGGAAATCGAATTAATTTTGAAGGAAGCGTATAATTTTTAGTTTGAGATTATGTCGAACTTGGCCAATCATAGAGGTGTAACGAAAGGAAAACTTCTAGTTTTAAATTGAAGAAAATTAATAAAACGATTAAATTGTAAATTTTACGGAATTAAGATTGTATAAACATATTCGCATCAAAAATGTCTTCTGTTAATAATGTATGATAATCCAATTAGCAGGTGTCCCTTCTTTTTTTTTTTTTTTTTTAATATTTTTTTCAAAATTTCAGCTGCAGAGGAAGAGTGTCGTGAAATGTAATAGAGATAATTTTTTTTAATATCGCTCTATAGAAGGTGAGACAGTAGTTATGACGGTCTTAGGTTTTTTATATTGTTCTTAATCTTTCTATTAAGAGTTGCATTAAAAATGTTTAACTTGTTGCGTTTAGTGATGTAGACTTCCATTAAATATACTTCTTGCTATTCGACATCCCTGTGTTAGGTACAGTTTTGTAGGGATATCATGCTGGGTAAGACGTTCCTTTCTATCTATAGGCGTCCTTCCTGTAACGGGGATAATCTTTTTACACTGTTTGTAATTTGAACAAAAATACCTACATTGTGACAAATTTAACTCTAAATATATTTAAACTTTTTTTTCATAGTCTTCACAACCTTGCTGAAAAAAAAACGTGAAAAAGAGTTGCTAATAAAAGATTGCTTTGCCGCCTACCTCCAAGTCAGTTTTCAAAAGTTAAAATTTCAGTGATTTTTATATTTATTTCGCTTTGGAAATCAACAGAAAATGCAAAATCTTTTATAAAATATACACTCATTAACAAACATTCCGTTTATAATATAATGAATTGTTATTGACCAAATTCTTGCTGTTGTTGCTTTACAGGGGAATTAAAAGAAGGGAAATATTTTTGATCTACACTGGAATAACGAACATCATTCAACGAACAGTATTCAAACTCCAAGACCAATTTAACAATACAAATCGGAAGTAGAGCTAACACTACCTCCATAAACATTAGAGGTGGGATCAGGTGCCATGAAGGAGTATACGTCCCCCGTCCACCGGTCACACCCGCCGTGTGCTCCTTGTCATAATCGGGTACACGGAGATTCAGTAGAAAGTGTGTTAATAATGGCCGAACAACTTTCATAAAAATCGTCAGTACACATTCTACTTCATGATACTTTGTATTCGCTGAAAAGGCGATAGTATCCACTATATAGTTTAATTTGCAAAATGTTGTCTTTAAACATGATTGTTGATATCCATATACAAATCATCAACCTGTCAATAGCGTATTAGCAGTCTCGTTTAAAGTCATCTTTTCGTAAGTTCTATGGTCGATACAACGACCTTGTCAGTAAATACAATTTATCATTTAGTCAAATGCTGACTG